CGCCGAGCGCGCGGGCCCGGCCGCGGCGGAGGGGCCCGTTGTGGCCGGCTGCCCAAGCCGCTGCACGGCACGGGGCGGCTGGCGAGGGCACCGGCGAAACGGGGCTGAAGGCGCTTGCAGACACTTCCCCCCTTCTCCCGTCCCCAGCTTTGAAAGCCAGAGAGGGAGAGGGAGGGACACGGGGCTGGCGGGTGGCAGGCGGGAGGAAATGTCCCCGTGCTGCACAGGGCGGCAGGAGCACTGCCCTGCTCCCTGCACGCAGCACCCGGCACCTCCTGCTAACAGGACCCCTCTTCCTTGGGACAAGCAGGAGCTGAGGCCRCCATGGAGCCGAGCCACGATAAGGAGAGGCCCCCTTGCCCAGCTCTGTCGGCACTGGAGGAGGAATTCCAGTTTGTGCTGTGCGAGGGCTGCCGGAAGGAATCGCCCAACCTCAAGCTGCTCACCTGCCTCCACACCTTGTGCCTCGAGTGCCTCAGCGAGAACAAGCCCGTCGGGCAGTGCCCCGTGTGCCAGACCGCCATCCCGCAGGCCAGCGGCATCCCCAACCGGGACAACCTCCTCTTCTCCAGCCTGCAGGCCAGGCTCAGCGTCTACAAGAAGATCCGCAGCGGCGGCAGCTTGGGCTGCTGCAGGTGCCACAAGGAAACAGCGGCCGTGTGGTGCTCCGAGTGCGAGGAGTTCCTGTGCGTCTCCTGCTTCGAGGCCCACCAGTGGTTCTTCAAGAAGAGCAGCCACGAGGCCAGGAAGGTGGAGGAGCTGCGGGCCGAGTCAGCACATCACTTCCTAGAAGGCACCAGGAGATCCTGCAGCCTCTTCTGCTCCAGCCCTGGTCACAACAACCAGGGCCACATTACCAGGTCAGAGCAGCCTCAGTGCTCGAACACCTTCAGTGTTCAAGAAGCACACAGATGAGGCGGTGTGGTGAGGGGTTTACCTTTGGACTTGATGATCTTGAAGGTCTTTCCCAACCATAATGATCCTATGATTTGCCACCCACTCCTTTGCCAGAGGAGGAGGGAAGGAATGGTTGCAGGAGTCGGATAGGGAAGCACGAATGTTTCCAGCSTGGTCCAAGGTGAGGCCTTTGCTGCAAGACCAGCTCTGGCATCTGCTGGCTGGAGCTGCAGGGCAGGAGCATCCTACTTTAGGACAGGGACTGTGAGCTTGGGCAGGAGATGGGGGTGCCGGGGAGGTGAATGAGCTGTAGTCCTGGTTCAGTAACCATGGTCCTGGGGTAAGCAATCAGGCTGGTGCCCGGCTTCGCGCCCGAGTGATACCAATGGCCCCGGGCACCATTCCCCAAGCCGTGCCCCAGTTGCACCTCACATTAGAGGTAGCTGAGCCTCCCCTTCAGCCTCACCGAGAGGACTGCACTCCATGCAGCAGATCCGCTCCTTTTGGTGCAGGGAAAGCGCCGGGAAGGGGAGGGAGGACCATGCACTGCCCTGCAACGGAGCTCTCTTCCCTCGCAGCATCTACTGCCGGCGCTGCGAGAAGCCGCTGTGCTGCTCGTGTGCACTGCTCGACTCCCAGCACTCGCAGTTCTACTGCGACATCCGCAGCGAGATCCGGCAGCGGCAGGCGGAGCTGGACACCCTCAGCCTGGACCTCCRGGAGAAGAAGAGCAGCTTCGAGGCCGCGCACGAGGCCCTGCAGAGCAAAGCGGCCCGCCTGGAGCAGGTGAGCAGCGAGATGCAGCAGCAGATCCGGCAGCGCGTGGAGCAGCTCGTGCAGCTGCTGCGGCGCGAGGAAGAGGAGCTGCTGATGCTRGTGAAGACGCAGAGGGAGCAGGGCTGCCGCGTGCTGGCCGGGGASCTGCAGCRCCTGGACAACGTGCTGCGGCGCATGCAGGCCAGCGAGCGGCTGGTGCAGAAGATGAAGCTCTACGGCTCGGAGCAGGAGGTCATGGACATGCAGCCCTTCATCAAGGCGTCGCTGGAGGAGCTGCAGAGGCTGCAGCCCCCGGCGGCCGGCGGCCTCGCRCAGCCCGGCGGGGACTTCGCCGAGTGCCAGGCCCGGCTGCAGGCGCTGGTGGAGCGTGTCACCAGGCACACAGGTGAGCGGAGCCTGCGGCTTGGGCCACCTTCCTGCTTCCCAAGTACTGCCAAAGCCCCTAGACCGCCCTGAAAGGAAGAGGAAGGGGAGGGAGCTGCTCACTTGCCGCAACCTCTTGGCACRCACTTCCCATGGGATCAGGGCTCCCTTTCCTGCTGAGCTTCACTATCTTCTCTCCCTTGCAGACGCCACGTCCCTGACTGTCCCGCTGGTTGAGCCCCTTGAGAACGACTTGGTGAGATGCCTGTGGTTCTTCCCAGCATGTATAATGCCCCCTTCTCCRCCCTTTGCAAGCCTTCCCTTCCCTATCCCACCCCATCCTTCCCTTACTTAACCAAAAAAGCCCAAACACTCCAAGAAGCCTATTTTGTATGCCTGAAATGGCCCCAAACCTGTSTCTGACCACAGCTCTGCGCTCTCTCTGCAGCAAGAGGACCCAGCCCAGCTCAGGAGCCAAGAAGTGGTGCCCACCTTCACCATCAGCCTTGGTGACATGCAGGAGAACGTGGTAAGGACCATGACTCAACCTACGTGCCCTGAGCCTCTGCAGCCAAGGACCAGGGCCCTTGGGGGACACAGGACCCTTCCCTGRGGCCACAAATGGGGGACACTTTGTATCCCATGCAGGGGACATGGAGTGGTGGCTCCCCACAAGCCCTTACCCTGTCCTCTGCCTTGCCAGGACCCCCCCGCCACCACCGCACATCCCAAGCGGGGCTCGTGCCACTTGGACCGGGACAGCCAGAGCTCATCCAAGGTGCCCAAGCTGGAAAGTGACAACAGGCCGACCCGCCGTGACACCAGTTTAAACAACTGGGATGGCAGGGGTGAGCCCAGCACTTCAGCACGGAGCCAGAACTGCAGCAGCACCCCTGCCACCAGGAGCCACAGTGATGACACAGGTGGGGACAGCRGGACATGGGCCCCCTCCGCATCCTCCCGCGTCTCTCCCTCCACGTGGGCTGGAGTACAAAGCGGGAGGCTGTGTAGCCAGCTGCAAGCGTCTCCCCCCCTCCAAAACCAGCGCCTCCCCTCGCATGCCCAAAAGCTCCAATTCCATCTCCTTCCTTCCACAGACATCACCAGTATCATCATCTGCAGCTCGGAGGACAGCGAGGAGGACACGGTGGTGAGTGTAACGCCGGAGATGCCTCCCTGCTGAGCAGCACAGGGCTGCGGTGCCCGGCCCCGGGGCAGAAGACGGCACGTGGCCCTTGCCGAGGCCAGCAGACATTGAGACCTTCTCCCCTTGCTGCTTCAGGATGAGGGTGACCAAAGAGGTGCCCCATTTTCCTGCCTCACTGTAGATACCCCCTGCATGGTGCCATCTCCGCTTCCCGTGGGTGGGCAGACAGCAACCTGGCATGGAGCAGCAGGGAGAAGTGGCCTCTTCCACAACTGCTCCCTCCGTGGAGGGTCTTTCCCACCCTCACATCAGCAAGATGTGCTCATGGCTTCCTCCTCCCTTTCGCTTGTTCTAGTGCATAGACCTCATGGCATGACACATGGAGGGGATTCTGGATGCTTGGAAGGGTCTTGGCCTCTCTTCTTTCATGCCATTGCTTTCCTAGTCATGCCTCAGTTTCTYCAGTTGGGAAACAAGCCCGCAAGCTTTGGCTTCGCTTGTAGAGTGTCCTCGTGCTCTGCTGTGTAGGTAGAAGAGGAAGCGCTCAGCTCAGCCAGCYGCTAAGGGCAAGCCGGGGTGGTTCACATACCTGCCTCCAACCCAAGGCAGGAGCCCAGGGAACCAGGCAGCTTGATGGGCCAAGTCATCTCCAGTCAAGTGGTCCTGGGGTAAGGCAGGAGTCCCCATCCATCAGCATCCAGGCTCTCTGCACCCTGCTGGAATGGGGGTTGTCCCAGCGGGTTTCCTAGGCAAGGCTGCCACATAGGAGGGACAGCTAGCTAAGCCTTGGGAGGAAGGCTATGATCAGCTAAAAAGCAAGCTATGGATAAAAAAAAAAAAAAGAAAAAAACAGATTTGAGTTGAATGTAGCACTTGTGCTTGGCAGCGGAGCAGGATTCATCCATCCTGCTGCTAAAATGGGCTAAAAGACATTATGGGAACGTGCTAGGGGCCAAGAGCATCTATCTGATGCACTTCCCAAAGTGATGCTCCTCTGCTTCCCTGCTCCCCAGCAGTGACTGCCCAGGATGAGATGAGGTTTGGTAGCACTGCCAAGAAGCGCATTGCGACTTAATGCCCAGGCAAAGGTTGTTAGATGAACCAAACTCGGGCTCTTCCCAGAGCCCCGCAGATCCCTGGAGTTCCTTCGTGGTACCAAAACCCTGAGGCTCCCGGATTTCATCCTTGCCATAACCATATTAAAAAGGCACCTTCAAAATACACAGGGCTTTATTTTTTTATCTGCCTATCTTGCCAAATATTTGCTGGTCAGGTGGATAAGCAGCCTCGGGGAGTACATGGGACCTCCACTACAATTTCATTGCCACCGGCGAGGAGATTGCTCAGAAACCAGAGCACGTGTGGCTTGTTTGGGATTAAGGGGGGCTGGTTTTGTGGCACTTGCTGAATAAGGAGCTATCAGACCTTTTGTATAAATTAATAACGCAGAAGCTCTTGTTACTCTTCAATAAAGCTGTTTCCAGAATAAATCCCAACCTACCACTGTCTTCCTTATTCATATTTTCTGCTGTTTTTCCTCCCTGTCCTGATCAATAACTAGCAGAGAAGAGAGTAACCAGACTAAAATCACTCTCCAGATTCTCTCCCCGCTTACCTGGATGGCCACTGCTAGTAGCAGGCAACGAGCTGAGCCAGRGGACAAGGCAGCTGGACGCAGCCTGGGCATCACAGGTCATGGGCCAGGGGGTAGAGGCTGGGAACCCACCTAGAGACTCAGACATCTTCTAAGATCTCGATACCGGGGGCATCTTTTGGGGACGTTTTGCTGCATACACCAAACTGAAGCTGCAAGCACATGGCCCTGGCTCTGCAAGGACCCCCTGGCCTAGCATTGGGACTGGGATGAGTGCATGTGGCTGAGCCAAATGCGTGGGTCCCTCCCACTCCCTGGCAAATCCTGCCTGTTTTCCCTGTCTCGCCCTTCAATAAAACCTTCTTGCACATGATTTCAATTTGCCTACTTGCTATTTTGGGTAACAAGAGCATCTGCGATGGTATTTAGTTGCCAAGCTTGGTTCATCTAACTCCTTTGCTGCCCCTCTCCAAGGCTCTGGGCCACAGGGTCGTCAAAGGCACATCCCGAGGAGCAGAGCCAGGCTACAGGGACACTGGGAGCTGTCACCATCCTGCCCCCCATCCCTTTCCAGCAAGAGGAGCCCATGCCTTAAAACATCTCCCCTAGCTTGACATGGCGTTAAAGGCCACTCTGATCACTCAGCTCCCTTTGTCTCCCAAGGAGAGCTGCGCTGGGCTCTCTGCTCATGCCCGCATGGTGCCATCCATGCCCGGAGCTCAGCGCAAGCTCTTCCTGGGACTCACCATGAGCCAACTGCTCCCGAGACATGGCATGACCCATCCCTTCCCTGGGGAGCAGGAACACTGCGGGTTGGTGGCATCACGCCCAAGGTCTTTACCCAAAGCCTCGTGTTGCACCCAATGCTTACAGCTCACTCCTGCCTGGCCATCTCCAGCGCGGGCACCCTCAGGGTGGCAGCTGGGATTCAACCCCCTCCTCTGCTCTCTTGCAGGTCTTTGGCGAGCCCGGCAGCCCCCCGAGCAGCGGGAGCAGCAAAGCCCAGGGCAGCCCTGGCACTGCCAGCCCCTGGGGCCACGGGCCGGGGCTGACCACACTCGTCTTCTTCCACTTGGAGATGGACCCAAAAAGTGAGTGGGTTACTGTGCCCTGCAAGGGGCTGCGGGAGAGCAGCGGGCGGCCTCAGGTAGAGAGGGAACAGTCCAGCTCAAGGGACATCTTCTCCCATTCCCCTCCACAGCTCAGCAGATCACAGAGATAGCGGCAGCCAACGGCGATCACACCTTCAAGACCGTCATCCGGACACCTGAGTCCATGCTCACGCTGCTCTCTCAGGGAGTCTCCTTGGAGACAGCCATGGAGCAGTTCCTCTGGTACCTCTACTCCGTTCCCGGGCCCATCCTCGTCACCTACAACTTCTGGGAACCAGAGCTGCCCGCTCTCTTTAAAGCCCTGGATGCTACAGCCAAGAAGGTGGACTTCTGCCACACCGTGGGTGGTTACTTGGACATGTTGCCCTTGATCAAAGAGAAGGTTCCCAAGGCACCTTCCTACAAGCTGAAGAACCTGGTGAGAAGGTATCTCCGTCAGCAGCTGAACAAAGGCAGCGCTTTGGCCACCACCAAGGCGCTGCAGACGCTGGGGCAAGTCCTGGAGCTCTTCCCCAACCCTGACCCAGCGCCCACGATGACACACTGCAACCTGCAGAGTTACACGGTCCTGCAGAGCCTGGTACAGGAGAAACTCCTCACCAGGAGAGCTGCCAAGGTCCTGGCCAGGCGTAACCTCATCCTCTGGGAGCTGGAGCAGGCGTAGGCAGCGGTGCTGGAGCTGTTGCACTGTAGTATGGTGACAGTGACAGTGTCCAGCYGATCCCACCGCAGATGCTCGCGGAACTAACTGAATTAACATCTCAAAATAAATTATGCAGCATAGCCCACTAGCGTGTCTACATCTCGTTCTCCCAACATCTCTACATCTCCTGCCCTAAACCTTATTTGCACCAGGTGCGAATTTCTTTGGAAGGAAAGCAGATCCCAGCCCTGTCCCAGCCAGACTGCAAGAGGCACCTTCATTTTGCAGTGCAGAATCTGCCCCGTGTGGGCAGGCAGAGACRTCCACATGCGTCACCCACCTTGGGCAGGTTGTCCTGTCCTGGGACGGGGCCAACACAGCCTCTGATCCCATCTCTAGGAAAAGCAGGAATGGGACATGGACACGGCAATGCAGGAGACGTGCCACCAGGTGTCTCCTTCAGACAGCAGGGCACACGCTTGCGCACGCTTGTGCGCACACATGCACACTCGCACCTGCACAGACGCATTAGTGCACGGGCACGTGCCTTTGCTTGCATGCTGTGCATGCACCTGCACGCTTGGGCATGCACAGACGCATTAGTGCACGGGCACGTGCCTTTGCTCGCATGCTGTGCATGCACCTGCACGCT